CAGTCTGTGGATATCTGCTCCATCCTACTTCAAACTTATCAACAGTGTGCATTAATTACAACGCTCATTTTTAACCTCATTATGACGGACCATCGCTCAATGCCATCAATGGACATTGACTTGGTTGAATTCACAGTTTACTTACAAATATTCTAAAACAACTTACTAGTGATATAAGTATGTTGAAGGGGACTACTACCGGTATGTGCGATTTCGGAGGGAAACAAAAGTACAAGTTATTCAAATGTAATATGGCTAGCTGTTAGCAAATTATTCTGTTTGTTAGTGTGTTGCTGTAGGATTCCTGTACTCTGGTGTGTTAGTCACTAATGCAATTTTTGTAGCATATTTTGTGTTCGCTTACTTTTTTACATGCAGAGCTGTCCATGTCTTTCCCTATTTGCTTACCTTAATCACTACAGCCTCTTTTAGTTATTGAGGTTTACTGTTATTTTATGAATGCTGTCATTATTGCCACGCCTTTAACAGTCTATTTGATCTGTTGCTAAGCAGCGTTGTTTTTTGCTGGTGTACTAGCTGTTTAATAAAATGGCAAATTATGTATGAGTATGTTATATTATACCACAGTTGAAATTTTTCTTAAAGTGACCATATATTCTAGTTAATTATTGTGAAGATAAAGTATCTTTATTTTTGTATAATTTTCACTGGAGAATAGTTTAAACAGTCTTCTTTCTTACAAAATGAATCATAAGATTCTGTTGTTTCTAGTGTAGATGATTTTTCCAACCAATAAAAAGTAATGACGGCCACGTAAATAAGCGTCAGTAAATTGGACTGAGTCTGTATACACTGATCTTTGAAATTATCGTTTTTCTATAAACGGATGAAACACCATCACGTTCTCGATATTAAATTGAGAATATAATCAATTGAACCTATGACTTTAAATTTAACTGTATAAATCACTTAATCAGGTATGTTGGTTAAACTAAATGCTACTAAGCCGTTCAACTTGCTTACAATGAGACAGGCTGGATTCAAATGAATCCCATTTTTATTTCAGTAATATGAGAAAATTTGAAACATACATACCCACCAACTACCATAGTTAGCAAACATCGTGTTGTTAGAGTAAGGGATAATAGCCCATTGTGCCTAAGTTCCAGTTCAAATATGTTTCCTCATATCTGAACGGCTTGATAAATAACCTCACCTTTTTTTTGTAACCGTATTTTAATAAGTTTTTTCAAAAACCTTAACAATACGTAAGTATCGAATATCATAGAAGGAACATTCTCTGTAGGATAATAAAAATAACGGCTTGTAAGTTAATTTGATGAACATCTAAAAAGCGAAATTCCAGAAACAATTCGTCTATTCTTAAAACTACTACTGAAAATTTTCAGCTAAAAAGGAATCAGAAAATTGAACCTATGAAGTTCAACTTAACTTTTATATTCCCGACTACGCTTGATAAACTGAATAGTAAAAACTCTAGTTGGTGATTTTATTTTATATGATCCGAGTAGTCTCTTAGCAAATAAACTCATCGATTTACATTATGGTGACATGGTTGTTCTGATAGACGACAGTTGATTCCACTTCATTCAATAATTACCTTTTATTTAAACACAAATATTAGTACAAGAAGGCACCAAATATATATGCTCCAGCACCACATCATTCGATGTGTCTGAGGGCTCGGTACTACCCGAACACCCAAACCGAATCAGATGGTTTTCATGGAAGGCCGCCCGCCCCGTCTTTGACCTAGAGGTCTAATCTACAAGTGAGTGGAGCAACACTGGGAGATACAGTCTCATGGTAGCCGGTGACCAACAACAGGTTCCTACACTATTTGTCCCGTTAGAATTCTGGAGCCCGTGTACACCATTGGTTTGTAATCAGTTTCCCAAATCCCTTAAGTGTTGTCCCCTTCCTATTCACCAAACCGGTTAAAGCGCCGGACATTTGTTTTTCGTCCTCTTAATTTCGTAGGCAACAGACCCTCGCCGTGAGAAGGCAGTGAGTAGAGCTTCCCTGACAGTGGTTGTATATGCGTGACCATGTGAGAGCATTTGGAGAGGGAGAGCGGACTTTCCACTCTCGGCCGTACTAGTGCATTTTAGGACACAATAATCACATGCAATTTTAAGGTTAATATTAATATTCGATTGCTCAAACGACGTATCAATAGCCAACTGGTCGAATGTCAGTTCCCAAAACTAAAATTCTGTGTACATTTGATTGTAAATGTTGCAACAAAATATAATTAGACTGACTGACAAAAATGAACAAAATAGACCCTATCACAAATATGTATCGATACAAGTTCCCATACTTAAAATCAGTTTGGTCCAGAAAAAAATCAGTAAGAAGGAAAACAATCGTCTGAAGTAATGACAATAGCAGTAGTCGGAAACAATGAGAGAAATGAATAAAAAGTATGAGATTATACCATGTTAAAAATTGGAAAGAAGACAACAACACAGATGCATCCATGCTCTTACCACTGGTTTTAGCCCTCCTCATACTTCGTGCATATCTTATGGACTTCAGTCAAGAAATTAACCCTCCTCTATACGACTAAAGCCAATAGTCAGTGATTTCATTAAATGTTTGCAAGTGAACATCCATAATCTTATTCTGTGTTAATCACGATAAGACACCAGTATGGATGGTGCCTAGAAATCCACAAAATCTCTACCAACTGCCCCAGTGGATATATATATATAGTTAGCTGTCACTCAGTGTAATCGTCCTCTCATAGCAAGCTGGGATTATACCGGTGAATACATTCAGAAAGCTAAGCTCATACTTTTTGTATCGTTGCTGAGACTTTCTCATACATAAACCTACCAAAGGTGATGAAAATCCCAAGACGAAGGAATTAGGTAATGAGCTTAACCGCCTCGCCATTATTGTCAAATATATGTTAGCTTATATCAGCTCTAGAATAGTATTTTCCGTTTGTAAATTCAAAAACTCATTTTAAGCTCTCTTGTATTATTAATTAACGTGTTCTAAAGGTTATGTTTCATAGTTGTCTTCACGAAACAGAATGATTTTATCTGTATATTCCTTGCCGATAACGGACTTTTGAGATAAGACAAATTCATGAAACTTTAGACAAAGAATTTTTGATGTCCGGTGGTTTGTCCATGACAAAATAAATAAAAAGACAACGATAGGTAAACAGCTCTGGCGCAGATCACTTAACGTAGTCAGTGATGACAGCTGTTTATAGGATCTGATCCGAAAGTGTTTAAATGAAGTCACCGGAAGGAGATAGATTATTACATGCTCACATACCCTTAATCAAGAATGGGTAGATTTAAATCGATTGATAAAATCAAATGTTTAAGATGCTTACGTTAATATATTCTGTTTGAAAATACAGAAGAGGATCACTAATGTTATTTACCCTTCCATCTCATTCATTTCTCGGCTAAATGTAATATATTTGAGTACAAAGCTTATTCTTCTCTGTGGTAACTTATATGATTTACACTGTGAATACTTCAAACTAAATGAAAGACTATGTTAGTGATCTGTAGATTTCAGTTTTCTTTGTGACGTTAAGCTGGGCTGATTTGTTAGAATAAATAAAATTAATAACTACTGTGTTACGATAACATCATTTTAAATAATTGTGAGAAGTCATCGAGGAAGCTAGTTCATTATATCGTGATAAATCTTTCATAAACTATGTGAGTAGTATGGAATTTCAATGTCATACAAAGGAACAAAACAATTATTTTATTAATCCAAAAATGTGTCCTTGACTTTACAGGTGGGATTCATTGGCAAGTTACATCCATAAGTATTATTAAACTTGAGTTGTGACTAAATATCTTTAAAACTAGATTATGAGCTCGAATTGGTTTATTTTTGTTAAATAATTCATCTATCAAGCGTCGTATTCTATGTAAATCTTTTAGAGGCTACACAGATCAGTACATAACTTCGATTATCATTTGACAATCATGCCAATTAATTAGTTCGACAGTTAACTCTTCTATAAGTTGAGATTATTTCTATCTATTCTCACACTTGAACGCTTGAAATACGTTTCTGAATCACTTAATAGTGAAAGGAAAACCTCTGTTGAACAACGGCGATTTAAACGTCTCACATAAATTCATACATGCATTACGCCAGTATGCATGAAACCTACATGAAATCCAAGTCCGCATTTTACATATGAAACATGCTATAATTATAACTTTCGATATGCTTACTGATTTATTTACTGAAATATGAGCTATCCATCGTGCAATGGTTACCTCGTTCCTTGAACCTGATTGTATGGAGGAGACCTTGAATTGATCGATTTGAATAATATTCAGCTGTACCAGCGAATCTTGAAGTATGGTGGGTCCCAAAAATTTTAGAAGTTAATCATTTGATCACAGATAATGACTTTAAACTTTCTCTTTCCTTTCCTAACCTGCGATTAAAGTGTCCGGATAGTTTATGAATAAAATAATGTGTTTGGAAAAGAACTTGTGGGTTAAGTAGGATTTCTTCCTTATAAATTTAATTAACCCCAGTTTTTTTACTCATAAGCCAATTGTGAGAATGGTATCAATTTGTAAGTATAATGCATACTTGTCATATGGCAATAACATAGTAGGCGCCAGTTCACAATTGTCACTGACCTATTAAATATATAGCACAAGAAAAAATGAAGCACTTGGAAATAAATAATAAATAAACAACACCGTACTAGTAGAGTTTCTGAAATTTCATGATTTATTCTAGGTCGAAAAACTTCTACACATTCAGATATTACAAATGACAATAACAACAATACTATTATTATTACCATTACTATCATTTTTATTATCATAACAATTTATTTATTGTATTTAGTTTATTTCAAAATAGAGATTTTAATTTTTAGCTTAAATTCCCTCTAAGTTAATTTATCATTTGTCTGAAAGTGGGAAATTGTCATAATCTTACTTCTTAGTTATCTATTAATTTATTCATTAACTTATTAGTTATTATTATTTTCTATACCTGCCTATTAGTGGTCATCTGGTGTTTCAATCCCAACTACTACCACCACTACTACCACTAGCACAACAGTTCAAATGTCTAATTCATTTCGATTCTCCCCTATTCCATTTACTTCTATTTCAACCGGATCTACCATTTCTACATGCAATTCTGTTAATGAATTAATTCATCATTCTACGTCTACATCTAATTCCGAGTTTACTACACCTATTTTATCGAGTTTAGGATCAACAAGTTTAACAGTCTATCCAGTTCATGTTTCTGCTAATGGTTCAACTGTACTAGTTGCTTCATCACCAACTTCTCAAGATATTTCTAAATCGTACATTACAACTAACTCATCAGTATCATCGTCATCAGTCTGTTCTACATCATTTGGAAATTATTTAAATTCTTCTGTAGAAGCATCCAATTTATCTCCACTATCTATTACATGTAGTTCTAATTTATCTTCAAATTCAATTACTAGTCCTACGCCTATACTTACATCAACACCTCGTGGTAAGCCTAAATTTAAAGCATTATGGGAGTCTACTCTTTCCAATAATGAACGCATTAATCAATCTATTGTTAATGAATCTTTAACAAACCTTGAACATACAATTCATTCTGTCAATGAATGTACAACCACAAATTCTACCTTACCAATCAATTCAATCTCAAGAACAAATCGTACAAATAAACGTCAATCTCCTATGCTTGGAATTAAATCTATTGGTCAAACACCTAAACGTCTTGCTGCAACAGCTGCAACACTTTCACAAGAAAATAAATCAATTTCTTCAGATGGATGTAAAAAGTTTCTTCTTATTTGTTCTCCATCTAAAAATATTCCAGTAAAATCACAAATCGAACCAGATTCTGGTATATGTTTGTCGTCTAGTGGTGGTAATCTTTCAGAGTCTGTTTTATCGAAAAATACATCTTCATGCACAGAATTAGATATAACAGAATCTTGTAATTCTACTACTCGTCAATTGATTACTAATATATCAGATGATCGTGTAAAATTACCTAAAAATACAGAACGTAATAATAATATTTCACTGAAACAATCCAGTTTATTACACTCTACAGGATCTAACGTTTCGTCTGGTCGCGACTCTTCAGACATAATTGAATCTGACCCTATTGTTTCTGAAGTGTTTATGGGGAAAACATTCGAAAATGGAAGACGAAGTTTAAAGGAAGAACCAGTAAGTGTCTTATTGTAATAAGTTGAGAATCAAACTTTTTTATATGAAGTATTTACATGTGATAATGATGTTGACAAGTATATTAACTCATGTGTTTGGCATGGCCAACTATTAACCGTTAAGATCTCAGTGCACACCATTTATACCTGCCTTACGATCAACTATTTAGGTTATTAACAAATATTAAATCCAGCTATGAAGAAGTAATACTTATTCATTTGTTTACTCATGGTTAGAATTACACTTTGTGTTCTTTAGTTTAAACACCCAAAACAGTGTCATTTGGCTTCTTCTAATGCTCAAACATGCATCTTATTAAATATATTTTAACTGTTGTAAAATTAAGCGAACCTCTTATCAAGAATTACTAGCTTTGACATTAAGTATTCTAACTAGTTTTATTCTATATAGACAGTTTTAATTGTAGACATCTTTCGTTCACGTAATAAATAAATAAACATCTGTTATGATTATATATATATATATATATATATATATATATATATATATTATCAGAGCATAAATAATACCATTTCATCTTTTCTTTGATATAAAATGAACGGATTAATAAATGTGGGATTCTTGCAATACATCTTTTTTTAGTCAACACGCATTTCAATGACTCAGTGCAAACATTTTTACATTGAATAATTTCTTTGACAAATACCAATTCGATCGTGTTTTTGTAATTTTCAATTAAGAATGTTACTTTTTTAAGTGTGAAAATAATTCAGTAGTCTTTCATTACTCTAATCTAAAATATTGTAATATAAAATATCACAGAAAAGAGAGAGGAAATAAATACATCTCTACTAGCCATAATGCTTAGCAATAATCAAACTGGGCAATTACTGCAATCATAAGGAAACTCACTAGAACAAAATACCTACATTGTCCAGTGCAACCTGGATCAATGATTAGTCGGTTCATGTTCATTTTCAGTACATGTAGCATACTTTTCAGAGATTTCAAGCAATAATGGTTTACAATCTCATTGATTGATCCGCCCTTTTCAACTTAAAAAGTGATTCATTTTGTTTCTATAGTAAAACAGTTTGTTATGTGTTTTCCAATAATCTCAACAAGAAATAGTTGTATTTTATTCAACGGGTCAGTTTTTTTATTAATTCAAATTGCATATTTTGGTTCCGTACATCTTTTATGTTTGAGAACCTAGAAAAGATATTCAAGTTAGTTACAGTTGCCACTCGTCTTAGAAATATTCGAAATGTAGAATTGGGAATTACCTAAAGGGAAGCAATAGAGGATCGAAATAATAAAAGTGGGCTTATCTTTATTAAACATTCTCTTATTGCTTTCTAGTTATCAACTGGAGTGATGGCTCATTGGTTTAAGCATTTTACTTTCGGTCGATTATTCTAGTTCGGAAATTTAACTGTCTTCTATAATTTTTCCCCAGATAATCATAGAATTATTCACCCCAATTATATTGACATCAATAATAATTTGCTAAATTTAAAATTACTATGATGAAAGTGAACCATACAATTTAGTTATCATAACTTAATTAATGGTAGTGGAGTGTTCATACATGCATATTACTTATGTTCGGTGTTGAATTGAAACTTTTCGAATGTTCTCACACGATATCTTTCAAAGCTTTCTCAATCGACATTAGCTGTAGAGATTTAGTTCACCCATGTCGTGTTCTCTAGACTGTTAGAGTAAAACAATGAAATTTTGTCAATATCTATAACCTCATTCTTGATGGGTACTTTCTCTGTCTATCGACCTTGATGTTAAGTTTATCAAATTCCTATCTTACATGTCTGGTCAGTTTTAACTTTTTGAAATTCTCGGTCAAGGTTTTTCTATTTCTTAATGTAATCTGTAGTTTAAGAGGACTTAACTAATTCAGTTGCTAAAACGGTATAGTTTCGTTTATATTTTTCACCTCGGATAGACAGTATGTATTACTCTTCACCATATCATATCTATTTGTGTTTGCCTTCATTATGAAACATGATTTTTCCACAGACTGTGTACTATGCAATCAACTATTATAATTATAATTATTATTATTGTTTTATTGAAATCATGAACCGATCAATGTTAAACTACCATTGAAAATCTGGACACCTGTTTCGTTTAAGCATGGGACTCCCTAGTAGAGGCCATCCGCGATCGCAAATGTGGTTACGAAACCCAGAACCTTCGGTCTCTCACCCGAACGCTTAGCCCCTATATTACAGGATCGGCATCCAACGGTGTCAATGTCTGATTTCAACCAACCCATGTTATTGCTTGACCGTCTTCCGTACCCACGTTGTTATTGTTATTATGTATGCATTCTTACTTACTTACTTACGCCTGTTACTCCCAATGGATCATAGGCCGCCGACCAGCATTCTCCAACCCACTCTGTCCTGGGCCTTCTTTTCTAGTTCCATCCAATTCTTGTTCATTTCTCTCATGTCTATTTCCATTTCCCGGCGTAATGTGTTCTTTGGTCTTTCTCTTTTCCTTTGGCCTTGAGGATTCCATGTGAGGGCTTGTCTTGTGACGCAGTTGGGTGCTTTCCTCAATCTGTGTCCTATCCACTTCCAGCGCTTCTTCCTGATTTCTTCCTCCGCTGGGATCTGGATTGTTCTTTCGCACAGTACGTTGTTGCTAATAGTGTCCGGCCAATGGATCTGAAGTATTTTGCGTAGACAACTGATGTATACATTCACTGTATATTAATTCTATGAGTTCATCTATCTAGTTAGTCAACAAACAAGAAAAATATTTTGACAAGGAATAATTTCATTTGTAATATAATTTGTTCCAAAGGATCTCTCAATTCTTTCTCTTAACTCCTTTTCCCTTGCATTATTATTTTTTCACGGTTTTGAACTTTATATTTCATTTCTCCTTCTGTATTTCTTCACCCATCATCACTGTCACATTAAATTAAATCAATGAAAATGAATCGTTTAAGTAATCAATTAGTTTTCGTTCACCAGTTAATCAATTTGATAATGATGAAACCTTTCTATGATTGCATTTTAATGAGTAATCTGTTTTACACAAGTAATCAATTATTCTAATATTTTTATAATTCTAATAATGACGTTTAAAGTGAATTATGATTGTTATAAGTTAGATTCAAGTGTAGAAATTCACTTTAGATATTGAATATTATCTTTGATTGTATCCAATATGTGTTATTCTTAAATTTTATGTCTAGAAGTAAGTTGTCAGACGGTATCTTATATATACTATGTAGTAGATATTACATCCATAACTTGGTAGTCTAGACGCATAACTTCCAAACTCGAGTTGTCCTTCATTTATCGAGGTTTTAGTCTTTGAATAATACTATTAATCATCAGCGTTACCGCACATAGTTGTTATGGATCATAGTTTGGCATATGAATGTCTGTGTGATTAGTACGTTGCGTATGATATTCAGGTTCTTAAATGTTTTAATTACAACCTGTTTGGTGTTATTTTCACTTATGTTCGGCTTTTTCATCTATTTATTACACTTAGCTAACCTACGGTTAGTTGACTGAACGTGAATCCGTACAGCAGTGTTCATGTATCCACATATACACAGTGTTTTAGGTACATTGACTTCTGATGTTCAGAGCTTACAGTCCGTTTAGATTTCTTGTCTCCAAGGTTTTTGACCTTGTGATCAACTAGCAGGCAGGTTCGGTTGGTATATTTGAAGGTTTTCTGAGTCATCTACTGTATTTGAAAAACTCACACTTAAGATCTTATTGATTTGAAAAAAGTTGTTTCGTTCGCATTTATCAAGTGACTGTTGTCGATTAACATCTGGTTTTACTGATTTTTTTTAGTTGCTTAACTTCTAAGTTCCATCTATGCGAATCCATTGGGTCCGTATTGTCAATCATCTGTGTGCTGTTAGCTTAGAGATAAAGTAGCAGGTATATTTTAGGACAGGCAGTTCCTTCTTGTTATTGTATGTGGATAATACACACTACGAGATGTAAACTGATGAATCGTTTTATCAAACACTCTACAAATATCATACCTCTAACTGATAGACCTAGTAAAATAGGATTGCTTTCTTGATTTAGGGGATTTGAAATAGTGTCCAAACTATCTTGCATTTCATTAGTTAACCTATGCTTTATTTGTTAATAGAAGTAAGCATAAAGCTGAGCTATATTCAAAACTAATTGTTGACTCATTGCATGTGCATATTGGACGTCATATAGTGGTCCGGAAGTTCCCTTGAACTCATCATTTCCCTTCGAACCATATTTTTAAATGTCTAGTATTTTTAACTATCATCGATTCTACTATCATTTCGACTTCTGCAGTTCATCTTATCGATTTCATCTCACCTTGGTGATATGATGGTGAAACTTCTTGGTTCGATGCACACTATGCTGGTTATGACTTACTGAGAAACATTTTAGTTGAGAAATCACTACCATAATAGAAAAAATCCTAATTTCAGTTTAGTTTCTGTGATGCTTTTCACAATCGACGTAATGTTCAGTAATTTAAAAGGGCGCATCTACATGTAAAGAAACTTGTTAAAATACCCTATACTCATAAATAGGTCTTAGTAATTTCATTTTACATTAATTTAGTCTACTTTATACATTGATTAAAGGCTCCGAAAAGTGGGACAACTAATCCGTAAAACATGATCTTACCTACTTGATGAAGTGACGACCACATAAGTATGTGTTCGTGTTTGTTGTTTTTATTGTGTAAATGTATTCGGATTTATGAACATATCACACTACATAAACACGTTTACATATATTTGTGCACGCCATTCTAAATGCGTGTCCGTTGTTTGTATCCAAGTTATTTTATATGTGTGTTTGTGTAAATTTATTCACGTATATAACTATACATATACCATGATTTGTTTGTGTTCATATGACATGTGACCTCATCAGGCCATTTCCCTATGTTAAAGCCAATGGCCAACCACGGTTTAGATTGATTTTATCACTATCTGCCCGTAGAAATTTGGATATATATATATATATATATATATATATATA